GAAAATGTGGCAGTTGTGGGCACATTCGGTAATCCACCGTTACGAATTTCAGCACGTGGTTGTAGTTGTGGACGCAGTACGCTAATTGCTCTCAGAAACTGACCTTTTAGTACTTGAGATATCTGGCCTTCTTATCTACAAACTTACCGAGTTTACGCCAACTTGTGATGGCGACTAGAATTCGGCCTCTTTATGTGGGTTGCGGTGTACTAAATGGCCTAAGCGTCTTTCCAAACCACGATAAAAGTGCTTTAAATGTGATCTTTTGCTGATTTACCCCAAAAGTCCATCTGTTCTAATATTAGGTTAATTAAGTTCGGTCTCGACTCCTTTTAGCGTCGTGGCTGCTTCTAGAGTGAGCTGATTGGTGGATCTCACAGCATTTTCATTGGTCGATGTTAGATTTCTGATCATTTAAAAAACATGCATATCTGTTAACAAAATTGAAATAACTGCTGTCGGTGTTGAACTGTTTGACAAATCAGGGGTAATCACCCTGCCCTATGACACCACCAAATGATGTGATTTGGATGCAACCGGTTCATCATGGCGCACGACACAAACCACCGCTTGTTTAACGACTTTCGCCCCAGTTGTTGGTTGGTTGGTTGGTTAGGACAGTCTCTGGCACCACTACAGACTTGCGGTAGTGGTATCGTCTTACGTGCGATCAAAAGGCACCATTTGACGCGGCCACATAGCACACGAAAACACGCAAACAGATTCCTTGGGATGGTTTTATATTACCACGATTTTCGTAATTTGGTGCCTCGTCTTCATTTTGCAGTGTACGGGCTAATTTTAAATTCATGTCGTTTGCTTCCTCACCAAAGCCATGCGGAATTGTTTGGTTTTTGTCAAAAGCTCAGATTTTTTTGCAAGCTTTGTTTTAAAAATTCACGTGCTGTTTTCGCCGTTTTCCTAAAAAAACCGAATTCAGCAACCGAACATCGGCGTTAACAAGCGACATTTGCAAACTTGCGAACCACTTGCACGCAGTCGCGTTCTTGAAGTCAAGTTAGTCCTGTTTTGTTGCCAAACTTGGCAAAATTACTCTCGTTAAATCAGCAGAGCGTATTTAGCTAGGAATGTGATGTCACCTTCAGCTGATGTCTAGATGACTAGGCTATCCTTACTTTTCATCAAATCTGCTAAACCACATTCGAAAAAAGGCGAAATTCCGTGTGGTTGTGATTCATCTTGGTGTCTGGAGGGCATTTTCACCGCTGGTTGTGGAAGATGAGCAGGACGGACCCCACGTTAGTGCATTAGTGGACGCTCTTGACCTGGCCTCCAAGCATTCGATGGTAACTTGTAGAAAAGTGTAGTTCTCCTACCCCCGATTTTCTAAAACTCGACATTTCGTCGACCACACACGATCATGCCTCTCTACTCTCCAATCCAATCCGAAAATTCAAAAGGATTCGGGATCACGATGTTCGCGAATATTTGGCAGAACAAGGAAGTGAAGGCATTCTGTCGGGATAGGCGCTTGCAAATTCATTGGCTGTTTCTATCCTCCTTCCTTCAAATGGCGATTTCGTGGTGTCCTCTCGGAGCATCTGCGATTCGTTTTCATCATGAACACGGTTGACGTAGTCCGATGGAATCGTGGTATCACTACTGACCGTCAAACCACACCGCAGTCGTGTAAAGCGTGCAAACAGCTGTTTCACACGTAAAAGCCCCAAGTAGTTACCTTCTCAAACGGTAAAAAACTTGCTTCTGCGCCCAAGTCAGTCATGCTTTCTCGATTTCTTGGTCCAATTATCAGATAAGAAGCGAAGGCAAGTTTCTTCAGTTAGATGCAAGTTACTGCGCGTTTTGGAGTTGCATTAACAAAAACCCCAGCCAGGCTGTTTGCCGATTGGCTAGGTACGGTTTTTTGGTATTTGCATCGCTAATGCGATTCCCTCGTGTGGTCACAAACGTCGCAAAACGTCTGCAACAATTGAAGTTTCGCTGTGTGAAATTTAGGCTGCACTGAAACGATTGAGCAACTTTCGAGGGAGTCAGCGATCCTACAGAACCCAGTAATTTCTGTTTAAATTGATGACTTGTTTCATTTTTGGATTCTGTCATAGCCACATGCAATTTCATCGATCGTGCCCTCTTCTCATTGGTTCATTTAATCGTCCAAGTTTGCTATCGATTTTTGCTACTGTCAAGGTCTCCCACACCTAAAAATATCTTTTTGTTTGTTTGATTGCTCACTTGAGTTCCAAGTACAAAAAAACAAGTAAATCCAAGTGTATTTAGCAATAAAGCCTTGGTGTTAGACGTTTTCTAATTACGTGGATGCTCTGGGGCCTTGTGCCAACTCGCCAATTTTATCAGATTTTCGCTCCCTTCTACTTACAAACTGCTCACCAACCTTATAGCAAACTGTTTTTTTGATAATTTAATAAAACGATCCTTTCACCGCCTGATTTCGATGCGATCCACAAATGCTTGGCCAAAATGCGGGCGCGTTTACTCACTTGTCGAGTATGTATAGCTGCTGGAACATTCCGTCTTCAACATCAAAATCCGTTTGTACCAATGCGTTCCATACGAATTCAGCCATGCAATACTTGGGCATCAGCCACAAACACGCACGGACAGACAGATAGACGGCCACGTAACTGCCAGACAAGCCCCTCATCGTGTCTAGATCTTCCTGTTCATTTCTCTTTTCAGGTTCAAGAACGAAGCCGAGGCGATTGAGTTGGCCAATTCCACGCCCCACGGCCTGGCAGGATACCTCTTCTCGCAGGACCCCGCGCAGTGTTGGCGAGTCGCTGAGGCCGTGGAGGCGGGCCTGGTGGGGGTGAACGCGGGCCTTGTCAGCACCCCGGAGGCCCCCTTCGGCGGCGTCAAGGAGTCCGGCATTGGACACGAGGGCGGGCCTGGCGCGTTGAAGGAGTTCATGAACACCAAGTACATGTGCTGGGGCGGCCTCCAGTAGTTCTCATACAGCCCACGCCTACCTCCTCTTTGTAAAGAGCTAACGTATTTAGCGGTATTACCGTTGTACTTTGTGATACCTTCCGTAATTGAAACTGTTGCGATGCCATATTCCACTGACTATCCAACAAGGATGAGGTCTGCGGAAGGACAGAGAATCAACCGTTTATTCGGGAACTTGAGCGAAGTCGTCGTCGTGTGTGGGGTTTGTGCGTGTGTATTTATACCTCAGATGCGTGAGTCATAGATGCGCTAACATCGACACCAAGGTGTGAGGATAATTCAAGATAAATATTCGCGCGAATGTTAGGAGAGTTGAGGATCTGTGCGGCTGGCGACATGCTGCGAAAGGGAGAACCTGGTGTCGGAGGCTGGAGCAACCGGATTAAGGAGTGTGTATGAACACGATTCACAACAAAACCAGTCCCATTTAGCGTCTTTTTCAGGGGAATTTCGACATGGTAATCGACTAAGTCCAAACTTGCCGTCCTAGCGCTTTTTGTTTCGATCGGAGATGGCGAAATGGCGTTGGAATGATACAAGCGCTGCCCTGTTGCCATTGGGAGAGTTGACGCCGTTTTAGTTGGCAGAAGGCGGGAAATTTTGCGGCATTGTCACTGATGCGAAAAATCGGTACATTTACTTAATTTTTAAGCCCAGAAAATGACAAGCATGCAACTACCTGAGTCTAGCTTGACCTTCATCCTCACAAGCAAGATGGTGATTGGCCCGCCATGGTAATGTAAAAGTTTTATGAATTTTCTCGAAAACCGTCGACATTGGCTTAAAATGACCTCATAAACTTGCAAAGGGTGGGCGAAATTGTTGAATTTTGATGTTTGTGACGCATGGAATCCGCTTCTTGCTATGTCCAGGTGACGCTTTCAGGGTGGCGATTGGGTCTTGTTCCAAACTCGACGTTAAAGTGGCGTTTTCAGGGGACAGCTTATTGAGATATTCAGTCTCTGTCACCGATTTCTGAATGATCTTTCTGGAACCATCTACAATTTCGGTCAATACACTATCCCATCTAGATTTTAATGGTTCTTGACCATTTTAGAGATTTTTGAATCTGACGTCCAATTCTTTTGTAGAAGACATAGAATTAGTATCACTGTTGCCATTGTCGAAGGTAGATGTGACGATGTGGAAAATCAGGAAGCCTTTGGATAATCGGACGAGCCCTAAGCCATTCAAAGGGCGTCTAACAGCACAAAGATTGTCGATTTGTGGTAAAACCGGAAAGGTCTTTCTGACGAGATTTGACAGACTAGGATCTTAAGGCAGTCCTCCCCATAACCCTCTACTTCATCCTGAAACGACAAACATCGATTAATTGTAAGCATGAAACAGTTAGTAATGCGTAATGGGTTAGTCTGGCATAGGTTACAGCTCATCCGGGGAACTAATTCGAAGTTGGGCTCAACTAGGGCGCGTGATTAGTTAAACAACGATGGGCGGGTATGGCAAACTAGTACTCTTTTGGGTTCGAAGAGAAGGCTCTGGTCAAGTCTAGTTAACGAAGTAAACTAACTCGTGAAATAAATATGGGACGCAGTGTTTAAGTTTCTATGGCTGTTTCCGGGTGACCAGGCAAGTTATCGAACTGCTGTTCGTGAGCGAAATCAAAGAACTCCATGTGTGTTGGTGCCATTACGTGACTTCTGTCTTCCTATTGGTCAATTTGAGCGGAGCGCGATCACCTTGTGCATTCAAAAATATCCAAGAAAACGGCATAACAAAGCCCTGTTTGTGCACATTTTTGCCGAGTCTTTGATACTGTTGTGTAAACGCCCTTTTTTGAAGTTAAAACTGCCTTTTAATACAGTCAACACATTTAATTACAATGCAAATATGCCGTCGGGCAATAAAATTTTCCAAGTCAAGTGACGCACACTTAAATCAAAAATAATTTATATTTAGAACGAGTCGTGAAACTCAGCCTCCGAGCAGACAATGAAACACGTGGTGGTCTGTGTTGTGACTGACTGCCATAAACGCAGTCGTAACTAGCAAAACGGTGAGTGACCTTCACATGGTTACTTTTGACAGTTCGCAATTCCTTGTCTCCAAAACGTCAAATCGTTTAAGGTGAGGCTTAATACAATTGCCGCCGAATCTCTAGGTCGATCGTAAATTGTTCGCAGAACGAATCTTGTGGGCCAGCTCAAGTCTCTAGAATGAGCATCTGGTTATACAAATTATTAATACTTCGGCTTCCGAAACAAATCGTCATTTAGATGACTAACAAACACAAAAGCTTTTGTTCACTTTGACCACCTACGTGATTGGTTCACTGCCTATTGATTGCGTTATCGACTTTATTGGCTGGTTAAGTGTCTTTCGATTACTATTGGTTCATAGTGAGAAGTAAATGACAATTAAATTTTTACTATCACCTGACTGTAGAATTGTCGCGCAAATTGATGGCACTTGCAGCGGTAGACTTTTCGATTTTTTTCGTAACAAACCGTCTACAAATTTAAGCTATGCACAACAGAATTGAGACTCGGTGGCTTTCAGAGGTCCTCGTTATTCCATTTATGTAACGTGAATATGGAATACATTTATCTAAAGTATTTTAACATCTTTGCCAATGACATGAAACTTAGTAAAATTGACATTCCTGGTGATTCAGAAGTTCCACTCTACATAATCCCTCCCTAATCTAGTCGTATCTGATAAAATTGCCGCATTATTGATAATTCGGTATTTGTGAAACTGGGTCAAGCTCTTGAAACCCGCTGGTATGTGGCTAATTTTAAGCAATACCCTTCTTCCTATGTGATGTCATTAGCATTATCAATTTGTCACGTTTATTGAACACTTACAGATGATTGGTCTTCATTTGGCCGCGATATTTAACCAAAGTGTTCTGATATGGATTGGCTGAGTGCAAATTGACGGGTGGAACAGTACTGCATTATTGCAATAATTTGATGTCATTGGGACAATTGATTGTTCATTCCGTTGTAGCTGCGTGTGCATTCAAAATGTAGGGGATAAATTACTGATTTCCCAAAATCGACCTTTAAATGTCAACAAAGAATGTCCATGTTGGATGTACAAAATGTCAATGTCAAAATTGTGCCGAGCAAAAATTTATATTTGTGCAGCAGGCATTAACCAACGTGGCTACCTCGTGGTCACCAAGTAAAGCGCTACTTAGCGTTTCCATGGTTAAAATGTGACATACTTTCTACTAGCCAATCTCGATGACGTACTCTCGTTGGCGTTAACAACATCAATTAGTGCAAAAATCACGTGGTCGGTTCATGTTTTCGATGGTATAACAACATCACTGATATTGTTTATCTGTTATTTAATGAGTTAATATATGATGCGGTTTAATCGACTGGATTTCAATTCAATTTTTTTTTAAATAAGTATAAACAAGTAAATTTACAGAAACTTGCCTGCATTAATAACCACCACTTAAAATGTACAACAATTCTGTCAAAATCAACCACAAACATTTATTGATTTCATATAAACTTTGCTCCATCAATTCAAACAAACAAACATCAGCGATTGGTCGAAATTTTGCAACTAGCCTGTCTGGTCATTACCTACATCGTAAATAGCATAATTGCTTAATACGTTTTACTTCATATTAAAAAAAGTGTGGCTGGCCAAATTAAAGGAAGATTAACAAGAGAGACAAATGGCCCATACCTCTTTCCACAGAGCCAATCACGCGACTCGCCAAATTGTACCCTTGAGATTTGACTATTAGGCAAAAATATTTGTTTATTTAGCAAAAAACTTTCCTATAATGAAAAACACACTCTACACTACGAACGTCCACGCTCAATCACACTGACTGAGATTGTGTTCATTTTTTTGAGGCTTGTACAGACAATACGTTATCTGCATTCGTTTCGATTTCTTATCGTGGAGAATTTATTTCAGTAAAAGGTACAGGATTTGCAAAATTTTGTGTACTTCAGTGAAGGGAATAGTGTTACCTTTGACTGTAACCACGAGAAACCACTCAGATAACGATACCAGATCCCTTGTTGACGCTAGAACTGACCTTCCCACGGTAATACAAGAACAAGACCAGAGCTCGTATAGGGAGCTTCAATCGCTTCAGCCAAAGAGGTGGGTGAATTGTCAAAAGATGCCCACTAATTCAAGTCAAGATGGACCTTGACCTGATAAAAAAGCGCAATAAAACAGATTGTAGTAGCTTGATCTTAGCACTACCTTACAACCCTCTAGTTAACAGCCCATGGCTACCCGAGGATAGGAAAAAGGAGGCGACAGAGAACACGACCGTTTATT